ATAGATATAGATATAGATATAGATATAGATATAGATATAGATATAGATATATAGATACAGATATATATGTTTTCGTAGATTTTCATGGGTACAGGTATGCAGGTCTTGGTGTGTTCGGGTCTTTTCCCATGTAAGATTGAGAGTATCTTGGCGACGTTTCGACAAGGTCCCACTCGCCATCTTCAGGCTGGTGCTTTCGGCTTTGTGCTTGTGCGAGCAAAGTGTGATCGGAGCTGCCGTCTCTCTATAAATACCGGTAGGGAGGTTGGCTGTGTTGTCATTACTTGACAACAAGACAGGCGGCAGCTCCGATCACACTAATTGGCAGAACCAAACGCCTGGCAGACAAGACACATAAAGACTGAACTAGGCACCCTGACTAAAGTACTGACAGCCAACGGCTTCCACAAAAGCAAAATCACAGGTCTGATCCACAAAAACACACTGACACATAATGGAGACCTAGAAGATGAACAGACCTATGGAACAGCTGTCCTGCCCGACATAAGAGGTACTACAGACAAAATCAGTAAGATACTACACAGGCATCACATCAAGACTGCCTTCAAAACGGACAGAAAAATAGCAGCCATCCTAAGAAACCCCAAAGATAAAATTGATCTGGAAAACCAAGGCATATATGAAATCCCCTGCGCATCATGCCCGGCCACATACATTGGACAGACCAATAGAAGAATAAGCACCCGCCTGGATGAACACAAAAATGCAGTAAAATGCGGGAACACACTTCCTCACTAGTCCAACACATGGAAGCCACAGGTCATAGCATCGACTTCAATGGCACCAAAACCCTAGCCACTATAGAGAACCCCAGCCACAGAATTATCAGAGAAGCCACAGAGATTGAAAAAAGAACTGAAAGCATGAATAGAAGAGATGACTCCACCAGACTGTCAATCATTTGGAAGCCTGCACTCACAAACAAACAAATCTCCACACCACAAGCCAGCCAAACACCTGGGCACAAACAGATCCCCCCTGATACCTCCAGCTCAAACACACCCCAACCAGGCACCCAGATGAAACCCAGCTTCCTAATAAATGATAGCTGTCCGTTTACTCAGAGCCAAGCCACACTAAAAGCCTCCAATACAGGAAACACAATGTTGCCAGCCAATCAAGATGAAAAAAGCTACAAAACAGACAGAAGGTATTAGAAACACCAATCAAGCAGAACACAGCAAACTCCAAGACCAATAAACACAGACCAAGACTCCCAACCAATCAGGATGAAGAAAAAAACCATTCTGGCACAGCAGATGGCTAGCACCAAATTTAAAACAGAAACGGCTGTGAAAGCCTGACTCACAGACGAACACAATACAGAAGCCTGATGATGGCAGATGAGATTCTGCCGAAACGTTGCTACAACTTTAAAAGCACAACTATAATGACGTGAGAAAATACCTGAACAAAGCTGAATACCATACATGTAAGTACCCGCGAAAACTTAAGAAAACATATATATATACATACACACGCACACACACACACACACACACATATATACATGAGGAGGGTCGCAGTGTCCTGAGTTCTGTGATCCCCTTTTGCAACCTTCTGACGAGCTAAGTCAATGGGGAAGCCACATTCACTTAACAACCATGTTACTCACTTAACAACTGCTTCAAACCTTTGACCAGAAAGGCCATAAAATGGTGCCAAACTCACTGAGCCCTCTTGTTTAGCGATGGAAATTTGGGGCTTAACTATATTCGTAAGTCGAACACTACCAGGCTTTGAGCAACCAGGAAAAGAGATTTATATAGCTTACCTTCCAAGCCCAAAGGACAAAAAAAGTGAATTTGGAACAGATGGTGAGGTCTAGGGCAGTGATGGCGAACCTTTTTGTTGTGGTGTGCCGAAAGCGTGCGCCGTCACTCACAATGCAATGTGCCCTGACCCCCCCCCCCGCAAACCCCCCCTTACCTGCATTGTGCATGCGCGTGCCTCCCAGCTGATTTTCGGCCCATTCGAGGCCTTTTTCGCCCTCCCGAAGGCTCGAGGGAAGCCTTTGCAGGCCGAAAAACGGGCCCGTTTCGGCACTTCCGGTATTTCCAGAAGTCCTGTTTTTCAGCCTCCCGAGGCTGCAGAGGCTTCCCTAGAACCCCCGGAAGGGCGAAAACAGCCTCAAATGGGCCAAAAATCAGCTGGGAGGCACGCGCAGGAGCAGTGCAGATAATTTTGGCTGGGGCTCGCGTGCCCGCACAAATGGCTCTGTATGCCACCTGTGGCAGGCGGTCTAGGGGCACCTGATTATTCCAGAAAGGAACAGGTTTTCTTCTTGTATCCATGCACTGGTCAAGCACACTTGAGCATTGAGAATGCCGCAGTGGTGGGATTTAACATTTGTTACTACAAATGGCTTGGTGGGCGTGGCAGGGGGAAGGATACAGCAAAATCCCCCTTCCCTCCCCACCCCACTAACCTGCTTTCCAGCTCTGGTCTCCTGTGCAGGGCAACCAAAGAAGAGCCAGCCAATCAGCTGGGACTCGGGAGGCGGAGAATAGAGGGGGGCGGGGCCAGTCAGAGGTGGGATTTGCCGGTTCTCCGAACTACTCCAAATTTCCGCTACCGGTTCTCCAGAACCGGTCAGAACCTGCTGAATACCACCTCTGCCAACCCAGAGACTGGGTTGGAGGTGCCAGACTGGGGAGCAGAGGGTGGGGGAAGAGAAGATGTGACGGCAAGCCACCCACCTGGTGCCCGTTGCAGGCTTTGGCACAGAAGAGGGCAATAATGGCTGTCCTTTGGCAACTGACACGGGGGGGCCTTGCAGGCGTTTCTCTTCTGAATCGGCAGGTCGGATTGGAGTCAGGCAGCTCTGGTGGAGGAGGAGGAGGAGGAGGAAGAGGAAGAAGAAGAGAGTGGGTCATTTGGGAAGGGAAGGGGGAGGAGACCTCAAAGACGCAGCTAAGAAGTCAACCGTGGGGTCCTTGGTGCTCTCTGAGCTTGGTGGTTTTCTTGCAGACGTTTCATGACCCAAGTAGGGAACATTATCAGTGCTAGAAGGGAGTGGGGTTTGCTGAATGGAGGAGGAGGAGGAGGAGGAGGAAGAGAATGACTTGGAGTCCTTGATGCTCTCTGAGCTTGGTGATTTTCTTGCAGGCGTTTCATGACCCAAATAGGAAACATCCTCAGCGCTAGAAGCAGCCCTGCTAGGATTCAGCCAGTTCGGCCTAGTTCGGGTGAACCGGATGTTCAATGGACATCTGGTCCACTGAACTGGTAGTTGAACTGACCGGCTGGCCCCCACCCACCTCTGCCCCGACCCTCCCAAGAGTCTCCACACAGCCTCCACTACACGAAGGTGAAAAATGGGAAGTCCAGAACAGGCCTGTTTCCGGCTTCCAGAGGCCCTCCGGAGTCCGGGGGAGGCCGTTTTGGCTCTCCCAGAGGCCCGAGGGAAGCCTCCGGATTCTGGGGAAGGTGAAAAACAGCCCTCCCAGAAGTTCCGGTAGACCACGCCCACCATGGCCACGCCTACCCAGCAACCAGGCAGAGAACCGGTTGCTGGGATTTTTGAATCCCACCCCTGTCTAGAAGGAAGGAGGAGGACAGCTTAGTGACTTTATTGCAGACATTTCATTACCCAACTAGGAAACATTATCAGTGTACTGGTAGAAGGGAGTAGGGTTTACAGAATGGAGGAGGGAAGGAGGAGGAGGAGGAGGAGGACTATGGGGTCTTTGGTGCTTTCTGAGCTGGGTTGCTTTCTTGCCGATGTTTCATTACCAATGCACTGATGCTGTTCCCTAGTTTGGTAATGAAACGTTGGCAAGAAAACCACCAAAGCTCTGAGAGCACCGAGGACCCCACAGTTTGATCCCAAGCTGCAAACTTTCTCTTCTAAAGAGTCAACCTTTTGACTGTTAGGGGGGGGGCAGGAGAATTAGAACCCAACCCACTAAGTCAGAAGGCAGGAAATAAAACCCAAAATAACCTGGGGGGGGGGGGGGGGAGAGGGCCCCCCCCCCCCCCAATCACTTCTCTCCTCTGAACATTATTGGGAAGTGTGCTAACTGTCCCATCCGTCTTCCGACTAAGGTGCTGCCCCTATTCTCCAAAGCAGCGGTCCCCAACCTTTGAGGCTTGATGTCCCAACTGGGGGGGGGGGGGGG